TCCAGTGAGAAACCGATCGCGCAGGTCTGCTGGCACGTGTACGGCCTTCTCTACCGCTCCGACCGCGAGTACGCGCAGGTCAGCCACACTGCTTGAAAGGGAGTAGCCAGTCATGACTAGTACAGCCAGTCACTAGTGACTCAGTACAGTGACTCACTGTGTCATGACTCAGTACAGTTCCGACAGTAGCGTAGCCAGTCATGACACAGTTCCAGTGACCGACCGCGAGTACGCGCAGGTCAGCCACACTGCTTGAAAGGGAGTAGCCAGTCATGACTAGTACAGCCAGTCACTAGTGACTCAGGTACAGCTCGGAGCGGACTGTGCTTTAAAGAGTAGAGCCAGTCATGACTAGTACAGCTCGGAGCTGACTAGTACAGCCAGTCACTAGTGACTCAGTACAGCTCCGACAGATGCGCGCAGGCAGGCCATCCTGTCCTGGCAGCGAACAGCCCGCCTATGGCCATTCACGGAGGCCGCCCCTCGCAGGCCATCAAGTGCTACCGCGGCGCGCTGCGGCACGAGCCAGAGAACGTCAAGATCCTACGCGACCTTTCGATGCTCCAGATCCAGCTCCGGCTCGCCTAGAAGCAGACTGTCTCCCCACATCTCCCCATATCTCCCCGTATCTCCCCCATATCTCGGGCCCTAGAAGCGGGAATACGGGTTGATCTCCCCAGATCTCCCCAGCTCTCCCCCATATCTCGAGGCCTAGAAGCGGACTCTCTCCCCACATCTCCCCACATCTCCCCCCTCTCTCGGGCCCTAGAAGCGGGAATACGGGCTCATGTGCTCCAACTAGCGCTCGAGGGCGGACCTGTGTTCCGCTGTGTTCACCCGCATTCCGCTGTGTTCACTGTCTTCTGCCTCTAGGCTCCGGCTGCTGCCGGGCTTCCTCGAGACGCGCCAGAAGCTTCTCACGATGAAGCCGACCAACCGGATGCACTGGTGAGGAGTTGAGTGAATGAATGAATGACTTCATTCATCAATGAAGCCGACCAACCGGATGCACTGGTCCATACCTCCCCATACCTCCCCATACCTCCCCATACCTCCCCACACCTCCCCATACCTCCCCACACCTCCCCACACCTCCCCACACCTCCCCCACACCTCCCCACACCTCCCCACACCTCCCCACACCTCCCCACACCTCCCCACACCTCCCCACACCTCCCCACACCTCCCCACACCTCCCCACACCTCCCCACACCTCCCCAAACCTCCCCATACCTCCCCACACCTCCCCACACCTCCCCACACCTCCCCACACCTCCCCACACCTCCCCACACCTCCCCACACCTCCCCACACCTCCCCACACCTCCCCACACCTCCCCACACCTCCCCACACCTCCCCACACCTCCCCACACCTCCCCACACCTCCCCACACCTCCGACCAGCCGGAGGCACTGGTCCGCCTCTGCGGCGTCGTGCGCCTCGCCCTGCTCGCCTCTGTGACTCAGCACACGGGCCACCACCTGATCAGGTTCACCTTTTGCGGTGGCGCTGCCACCTGGTCGGCCAGGAGTTACTCAATTAAGTCGATCGACTGATCAGGTTCACCTTTGCGGTGGCGCTTCACCTTGTCGGCCGGTACGATGAGGCGGTGGGCGTGGTGGAGGCACGAGAGGGCGCGCGAGGGGCGGGGTGTCGATTTCTTTTTCGAGCGCGTGATTCTTGTCGACAGGCGTACGAGAGGACGCTGGAGGGGTCCGACGAGCCCTCCAAGGAGCGAGATAGGGGGAGATAGGGGGAGATAGGGGGAGATATAGGGAGATAAAGGGAGGACGAGCCCTCCAAGGAGCGAGATAGGGGGAGATATAGGGAGATATAGGGAGATATAGGGAGATATAGGGAGGACGAGCCCTCCAAGGAGCGAGATAGGGGGAGATATAGGGAGATATAGGGAGATATAGGGAGGACGAGCCCTCCAAGGAGCGAGATAGGGGGAGATATAGGGAGATATAGGGAGATATAGGGAGATATAGGGAGGACGAGCCCTCCAAGGAGCGAGATAGGGGGAGATATAGGGAGATATAGGGAGATATAGGGAGGACGAGCCCTCCAAGGAGCAGCGCGAGCACGGCGAGGCGGTGAGCCGAGTCACCCGGAGGAGACAGACCTGACCGCGGACCGAGCTGTGGTCCCTAGGAGCCGTACGAGTACAGCGAGATGCTGCTGTACAAGAACACGCTCTACGAGGAGGCGGGGCAGCCGCAGAAGGCACGCCGCACCAGTAGCGGATTGCGCGCTCTTCTCCTCCAGCCAGCGCTCGAGAGGGCCAGCTACTCCGCTGCATGCACCGTTCTTGCGTCGCTCGGTTCACACGCACTACTGTGGCGATTTGAGGCCCCCGATCTCCCCCGATCTCCCCAGATCTCCCAAACTCTCCCAAACTCTCCCCACCTCTCCCCAACTCTCCCAAACTCTCCCCAAGCTCTCCCCACCTCTCCCCAAACTCTCCCAAACTCTCCCCACCTCTCCCCACCTCTCCCCAAACTCTCCCAAGCTCTCCCAAACTCTGCCCACCTCTGCCCGACTCTCGCGCAAGGCGCTCGACGACCTCGACGCAATCAAAGAGAAGGTAGCGGACCGCACCGGCTGGCGCGAGCGGCGCGCCGCGCTGCTGCTCGCCGTCGGCCGGCACGGCGAGGCGGGCGAGGAGTACCTCGCGCTGCTGAAGCGCAACCCGGAGCACTTCGGGTGGCACGCGGGGCTGCAGGCGGCAGCCCACCCACTAGTCCACCCACTAGGTAGTGCTCTCCTCCCCGGCGGCTCCGCTGGCAGGAGGAGGAGGGGTCCTCCTCGCCCTTGCGCCTGAGCCTGGTCGCGAGCAGCTTGGCGCAGTCCAATCTTCTCGCTCTCTGATTCGCTTGAGCCCCTCCTTATCACGCCCCTTCCCACCACTCGCTCAATATCGTCTACGATGTCCCATCGCCTCCTCTCCTATCGTCGACTTCCTCACCGCATTTCGAATCCCCACCAGGCCGCCACGCTGCAGAGCGGCGACCCCGACCGAGCGGTCGTTGCCAGATGACAGGAGATGCGATGCCGTCCTCAGGCGGCCGAGCTGCAGACGGCGACCCCGACCGAGCGGTGGCTGAGCGCGGAGGTGACGGCGGAGGCGGAGGCGACGCTGGCCGCGCTGTACAGCAAGCTGCAGAAGGCCTACCCGAAGAGCCAGGCGTGCATGCGGCTGCCGCCAGTGTGTGTCCACCTCCAGAGAGGCTTGACTCCGAGTGTGAAGAGGGTAGGCGTGCATGCGGCTGCCGCTCGACTTCACGCGCTCGCCGCCCGCCTTCGCCGCCGCCCTGGACGCGTACGCGCGCAGCTACGTGCGCAAGGGCGTGCCGTCGCTCTTCGCCGACCTGAAGCCGCTCTGCGCCGAGGGCGCGTGGTCGCGTGTGCTCTTCGGCGAGGTCGTGGCGGGGTGGGTGGGCGCGCTGGAGGCGACGGGCGCCTTCCCGGACACTTGCGAGAAGGAGCCCCCGTCGACGCTGATGTGGGCGCGCGTGCTGCTGGCGCAGTACTACGACAGCTGCGGCGACACTGCGGCGGCGCTGTCGCAGCTGGACATGGCGATCGGCCACACGCCAACCTGCCTCGACCTCTACCTCTTCAAGGCAAGATGCGCCCGAGATCGTGCTCGAGATCGCGCCGAGATCGAGCCGAGATCGCGCCGAGATCGCGCCGAGATCGCGCCGAGATCGCGCCGAGAATGAGCCGAGATCGAGCCGAGATCGAGCCGAGATCGAGCCGAGAACGAGCCGAGATCGCGCCGAGAGCAGACCTGCCTCGACCTCCTCCCTGCCCGCTCCCAGGCGCGCGTGTACAAGCACGCGGGCCACGCCTCCGCCGCTGCTCGTTGGATGGAGGAGGCGCGCAAGATGGACCTCGCCGACCGGTACCTCAACACCAAGGCGACTGAATTAAAGTTAATTAAATTCTTTAAATAATTAATGAATGAATGACCTCGCCGACCGGTACCTCAACACCAAGGCGACTTAATTAGCATTAATTAAAACTCAGTAGTGACTTAATGAATGGCCTCGCCGACCGGTACCTCCACACCAAAGGCGACGCGCTACCTGCTGCGCGCGGACTGCGTCCCCGAGGCGGAGGCGAGGACCGCCCTTCCCGACGCAGGGTTTCGCTTCACACCGCGCCGCGGCAGGCCGTCCTCCTTGTCCACAGGCGACGATCGCCCTCTTCACCAAGGACGGCGGCTCGACCCTCCACGAGATGCAGTGCGTCTGTTAATTCAGTAATTAAGTAAGTGTAGTTAATTAATTAATGACCCTGCACGAGATGCAGTGCGTCTGGTTTGAGCTCGAGGCTGGCGGCGTCGTCCCGTGCCTTGAGGGACTCCTCTTGTCTTAGGTGCGTCTGGTTTGAGCTCGAGCTGGCGGCGTCCTACCTGCGCACGGGCGACTACGGCCGCGCGCTCAAGAACTTCGCGCACGTGGAGCAGCACTTTGCAGACATTGGCGAGGACCAGTTCGACTTCCACACCTACTGCGTGCGCAAGATGACCCTCCGCGAGTCCGTCGAGAGCACCCCCTCGCCAGCTGGCCGCTGTGAGGAGCGCCTCTTCACACCTGCAGCTGTGAACAGGTGCGGGGCCGGGTCCTCCGCGACAGCTGTGAACAGCGCCTCTTCACACCTGCAGCTGTGAACAGGTGCGGGGCCGGGTCCTCCGCGACAGCTGTGAACAGCGTCTCCTCACACGCGCAGCTGTGAACAGGTACGTCAAGATGGTCCGCTTCGAGGACACGCTGCACGGCCACGCCTTCTACGTGACCGCCGCGTGCGGCATCATCGACACCTACCTCCGCACCCGCGACCGTTGGGCAGCTGTTCACACGCGCAGCTGTGAACAGGCATCGTCGACACCTACCTCCGCATCGTGGCGAAGCCGGCGCGCGACGCGGCGGCCGCCGCCGCCGAGGAAGCCGGCGGCGGGCTGAGCGTGCAGGAGCGTGCAGAAGAGCTCGCGCCAGCTCGGGCAATCTCGGGCAATCTCGGGCCAGCTCGGGCCAGCTCGGGCCATCTCGGGCCATCTCGGGCCAGCTCGGGCCAGCTCGGGCCATCTCGGGCCATCTCGGGTGATCTCAGCGTGCAGAGCGGAAGAAGGCCGGGGTGACTGACAAGTAGCAGTCCGTCAGTGGTTCGCTTCTCCGCTCGTGCAGGAGCGGAAGAAGGCCGAGTCCAAGCGGCGCAAGGCGGAGGCAAAGGCGAAGGCGGAGGCGGAGGCGCAGGCGAAGCGCGACGCGGACGCCAAGGGCAAGGACGGCAAGGGCGGCAAGAAGGGGGGCGGCAAGGAGAAGCCGCCCGACGACGACCCCTACGGCGAGGCGCTCGCGTCGGTCGAGGCGCCGCTGGCCAAGGCGCGGGCTGGGGGCGCGGTCCCGCTGCTGCCCCACGCGCCGGCAGTGGACCCGTGGATGCATGCATGGACTAGGCGGCGGGCTACATGCGGACGCTGCTGCTCCACGCGCCGGCGGAGCTGCGCGTGCAGGTGCTCGCCTGTCAGCTGGCCATGTGACCTCTTAGTTCTCGTTCAGAAATGAGTGAGCGAATTCAGAGCTGCGCGTGCAGGTGCTCGCCTGTCAGCTGGCCATGGCGCGCTCAAAGCCGCTGCTCGCGTTGCGCGCGCTGCGAAAGGCGCTCATTGGGGGGCGGCCGGGGGGGGGGGGCGGGAGTCTGACGTTTCCCTGACGTTTCCTTCCGTGAGATGCGGCCGCTTCAAGAGTGCACCGAGGTGGTCGATGAGAGGGGGGGGGACCTCGAGTGGAGGTGAGTCTGCCCGACTGCTGCGACAGGCGCTCTCGCTCGGCGCCGCGGACGCGCAGGTGCACCGCAGCGCCGCCCGCTTCCTCCACCTGTACCGCGCGGGCGGCGCGGCGCTGGCGCCTGCGGTAGCGACGGTGGTGGAGCGGCACAGCGCGCAGATTCTGGCGGCGGCGGGACTGCCGACCGGGGCGACGGCCGAGGCGACAACGA